GACTAATGTTGACTGTAACTCATGTCTGTCTCTTTCTCCTAATTTTTATTTAATTAATTTTTTTTTTCAAATACAAATATAACTTGAAATGTAAACATAATCAATATTCAAAACTAAATTTTCGATGTATCTTGCTTCTATTCTCTTTCATTTCTCTTCTGTAAGTTTTATATATATATATATATATATATATATATATATATATATATATATATAAAAAAAAAATCCAGTTTTATGTTTGCCCTGCATTCATGAGAACTATAAACAAATCACTTTAAAATGTTGGAATTTGGCTCCAGAAAGAGATATGCATTTTATGCCAGTTGGATGTTACATGCTCAAGAGTAAAAAAAAAAAAACCTAAGAATCTATTCTTCACTGTTAAAAAGGAAAAACAAAAAGAATCTTAATATTTTTTACCATGAAGTCTTATAAAAATAAATTAAAAAAATTATTAAATCATGAAATTGGGTTTTTCTCAAAGTATTTTCCCAAGCAAATCAGTTGTAGAATTTGTAAATCTAGACAAAAAATGTTAGTGATAACATCAACAGTACTAAAAACTGAAGATTTCAATATGTATCAGCATATTGAAAAAATTCTAATGTTATTATAATGCTTTAACTTGGAGTAACTCAGACACCAGTATTCTGGTTGGACTAAGTAATTTTTAATTAAGCATATGTAACAAAAACTGTCATTCCCAAGAAGATAACTCCAGTTCTATTAACTACTAATTACAGACTCATTTCCCTTAGTTTCCTTAAGAAAATAAGATGAAAAAACAAGTAAGAATCCTTGTTTGTACTTTCCTCCATCAGCCATTGTGGCATACTAATGATTATTTTAATAATAATTAAGCTTATTTATAATTGACAATTATGAGTGGAGGGCAATGAGTAATATAAAATAATAGAAGCAGCAGCAAAAGTACATTAAAGCTAACATAATATGAACAAGAAAGCATAATAGTAAATGCTGTCATTACAGGGAAATCCACAAACATTTAAATGAATAAAAAAAATTAGCTCAGAAGAATTAGAAAAATAAACAGTGACTAGCTAGAAACAAGAGATCCATTGGGAATTGTGCAAATCAAGTTTTTGGAGAGAATAAAATAAATTGAAATTCTACAAGGAGGTCATGATTTTAACACCAAGTCCAAATAAGGAGATCAAATGTTCCAGCAGACCTTTACAGAGTGAAAGAGAGGAAAGCTGAAAAGTATATCTCTGTTTTGCTACAGAATTTCAAAAATTGTAGAGTGTGAAGATAGCAATTAAACTCATAATTACTGAAGGGCTTGGAATAGTCTCCAACTTTCATATACACACAATTAGAATAAATGGAAGTTCAACGAAGAATTAAAACTATTCAGACAAGAAAAGTAAAATCAGTAAGAAAACTGAGCAAAGTTCTGGAGTGTTGAAGATAGTTGTATTAATGTGAAAATTCAGTAATAACGCCAATTATTTGAGAAGAAAAATAAGAGTCATCATGAATGACGAAGAAAAACAAAGTATAGCCTGATTATGCCTCAAACAATGACAGCAGCTGTAACAAAAAAATCTCTATCAACAAAGAGATTAAATAAACAAGGAAAAATCCCACTTTTAGATGAAATCTCAAAGTACTGAATTGATCAACTAAAAATGAGAAAATTATACAGTTCTCTTTGCTGTCAGTTGAAGCCATAATCCTCTTTTTTCATTCATATTCAAGTAAATATATTTCCTTTTATCAATTTTATTCTACATGAGCAGCTTGTGTATCCAAATTGCTGTTCAGATGGAATCCCAAGATAGAGGAAGTGGAATAAAAAAAGAAATAAAAAAAGATTCCTAGAGGAGAATTCTGTGGAGGGTGAATACTGTTAAGTCTTTTCCTATTTATGCATCAAGTGCTTGATAAACAACACATTGCCCTGACTGAGCTTACACAAACCTGCAACAATATCCAAATTTCTTCTTCCACTGTCAGTGTATTTTAGGTCTTCAAAAATGGCATTTTATCTTGACAAAAAAGCGTTTTTTATGTGGCTCATACTCCATGCTAAAATTATTTTTCATACATATTTACATTCTGTAAATATATAGAGATTTTGATCTGAGAAAACTAAAAAACTTTAAATAAAATAATAAATAAAATATGCATTCTCCTGTTTGCACAGAATTAAACTAAATTAATTAATCATGGACTTTGTCTTTAATTAAAATGCATGCACAGCTAACACTCACTCATACCCAACCTACCAAGTCAATTTCTGTAAACTCTGTGCTACCTTTTTGTGTTCAGTAATTGTACAAGATTTTGTAGCATTGTATTGGAAAGGCTCTAAATCTTTACAATGACTAACAAAATACAAGTGATGTGTCTGCATCGGATTTTGCAAATCTGCTACCAATGAGGAGTGCTCAGAGTGACCAATCACCAGCAAAATACAAGAAAATATTAAATAAATTTGTGAATTCCTACATGTTGACAACTGCTGCACATTATATATTATCTACTGAAATAATGGTATACTACTTTTTTTAAGATTCAGGTTACAAAATTTTAGACTGAATATGTGAAATTTTGTATTACAAATCTGGGACCACAGTACCATCTCAGTTAAACATTATAAAGAAAATATTCTTCATACAGTATCAAATATCAGTTTAACTATTTGTGAAATTTAGCAACTAAAACTTTTCTTCTGTACCCTGTCCTTTTTGAAAAATTTGTGTTATAATTTATTACAAGAGTATACACTTATCTGTCTTTGAATATTTCCATTATGTTTACAATCAGAAGATACGTTAATACAAATAATATAAATCATAGTTACATTGTAGAAAGTTGTGAGTGAATATCATGACTAATACAAATAAAAACAATGTTGGTTATTTACCAGTTCTTTATAAAGAAAATAATTTGCATAGTATCAAAGTCCTAAAAGTGTAAATGATCCTTTCCGGCTAATCTAATTTTGACCCCAACTCATGTTTTCAAAACAGGTCATATGTACTTTTAGAAGCATAAATTTCTTTTTGAATTGCTTGTACTTTTTTTAACACCAAAGTAGTCAAGTACTAGTTAAGAATTTAAGATATTTTAGTTGGCCCAAGCCTATAAGTATTTCGGTCAGAGAACAAACTCAGACCAAGTTGATTAATTCAACTCATTTTTAAAATGTGCGAGATCTTGGAATATCCACCTCAAAACTGTGCCAGGTTCAGTTTGAAATCCTTTTAATGTTTGCCTTGGCCTCTGCAGAAAGGTAAGTAGACATCTTCCAGAAAAAAGAACTACAAATTAAGAGGTAATATTGTTTTGAGGAAATCAAGTCCACTTGCAAGCCACTTATCATCAGAAATGGGTATCATAATGAAAGATGACAAGCAAACAGTGAAAATGGATGAAGTTATGAGAAAGTGGAGAATAAGCAGCTGCTGTGAGCAATGTTGGCAATATAGGGCTTTGATGATGCTTCATGTGGCACAGAGAATTGGCAATGTGGTTTATGCCAGAAGAAATAGCATCAACAGGAGGCTTATGCTATGTGTGTTTGTTATACTTCTTGCCTGTAAAGTCTGTAACATTTTACTGAAATAAAGTTATCTCCCTTGCATTGGAGTCTGTCTTGACAATGTTTACAGAATTGAAAGGTAAAAATACTGATTCCATGAAGCCAAAAAAAAGTAATTGGGAAATGTACTTATAAAAGTTAACATGCAAACAGTTTCTAACTGTACCTAATAAAATATTAATTTAATATAAACTATCAATATCATGGTCAACTGCTGTGTGTGTCACACATTAACACACAATAGTTGCTCTGAAAGTAATGCCTCCCGACAATAAAAGTTGAACCTTCCCACCAGTAATACATAATTTGTTTCTCCATGTTACAGATAGAATCTGAAGAACAGCTTAGCAAAAATGCATGTCAAATGAAAATACATACAATGCAAAAGTGTATTATTGAATTGCTCTATAGAAAAAAAATTGTACCCGTTAAAAGCCATTAAAACCTGATAAACATATACAAAGACCAAACAGTGGATGTAAGCACAGTTAGTGTGTAATATATTTCAGCAGTTGTAACAAGTCATATTTGAGCTAATGAAAGACTATGCAGACCGCATATTCCTTATATATCTTTTTATCATGACATCACTGAATTACAATAACTGGTAAATATAAAAAGTACATTAAAACATTTCTAATAAAAAAGAAAAAAATGCCAAGATGAAATTCATCAGAACCTTTTTCTGTATTACAAGCTGATAGCATTAATATTCTAAATAATGATTAGTGATGGTGAAAAATACAAGCACTAAAAACATTACGAACTTTGAACTTTATAAATTTGATCCAACTTGATGGCAACTCATGTCAACTTGAAAAATTTATTTAAAAAATTGAATAAGCAACTACAATAAAATATATTTGGAAATATGTGTTTTTTTTTCTGCAGGGATCAATTCAAGGATATATTTCTGCATTGTGTGTGTTTTCATTTCACACTCAAAGTTATATCACACATACATATGTATGGCCCATATTAAGGTTGATGCTAATAGTAGCAGCTAGTTACTGTTAATACTATCTAGATGATCAGGTAAGTATTGAACAAAGATTTATTCAAATGTTTCTTTCTCTATCAAACATTAGAGCAAATCAGTATTGAGATTTTTTTTTTTGTCATGATATCTGAAGATCAAACAAAACACAGTGATGTAAATTCATGCCAATTCCAATTTTGATGCTCAGGTATTATACTAACACCCTCCAAAATCTGATAATACCAGAGTATATATTTATAATAATTACTCCAATTTACCATATTGAATTTGAAACCATTTTTTTTTTAATTATTTTTTAAAGGTTAAAAAAAAAGAATTGTCTAACATAAGTAAAAGAATTATTTGTGGAATAGTTCCTTCTACAAGCATTTTCATGGTATTTTATTTTTTGAACCTACTGAATATAAACCAAAAAGAAATCTTTCTTACCTTAATATCTGTGGCATCCCCATATTTGACCATGTTAAATCCTCCATTAGGAAGATGAACCCGAAGTATATAGCGTTCCATGAGAAAGCGTTTTACTTTGTAGTCAAGTTCTAGATCCAGCTGAGAGGCTGACTCCCTTGGTGCTAATTCAACAGGGAGGTCCCTACATGTGTCACACTCACTACCCTGGATCAGACGCCACAACTTACTCCATTGAGCAATCTGTAAAAGATTATAAAAAGTAAAAAAAATTAGTATGAACTGCTTTGAAGTTAATTCAAAGAGATGGAGTTATTTTGTGGAAAAACTTTTTAAAAACCATTTTTTGTCACCTTTTGTATGCATGTTAAAGGGGTCTATAATTAGGATCACCTTCCAAGTATTTATATCACATCAACTTTATTAAAAAAATCACTCCAGCTTCTATTGATTTTAACAAATAAAATTGATAGCATTTTATTAACTACAAAATCTGTTCAGATAGTATCCAGTACATTTAGCATGAGAATCAACATATTATGCAAGGTGTTTTTTGGGGAAAAAATAAATAAATCACATCACAGTAAGTTTCCCTAGAATCTAGATTTGACACCCCAGAAATTGCCGTTGAAAGTGAGATTCCTGACCATGAACAAGATTAAGAAAAGTGTGATGAGGTAGCTGATGTCAATCTCAGTAGAGGTCATTGTAGACTGTTCTGAAAAAGAGGAAGTATATTGAGATGTGTGAAACCACGAAGAGCTAGACTTTAAACGAGACTAAAGTACCATTGTTTAAGAACTACTGGATAATTTCCAGACAGCCTTTTTATTGTTAGCATTTTTTTTCGTATTTCATAATTATTATAAAGTACTACTCAAAAGTTCAAAGAATTTGAATATCATGTGTGAATTGAATGTGATAGAGATTTTTGCTGCTACTTTTTGTGAAATGGTTATGGTTAAATTCCTTATATTTGTAGCATTGTACCTTAATATGTCTTGAAGTTAACAGTATCATAAAATTTCACATATTTACATTGGAGATAAGAGATTGCTTTCTTGAGTGTTGATTAACTGTGACATGATTTCAAGAGTACTTTAGACCAACATAATTTCTTCTTGGCATGTCACTTAAGGATGTGGGCAGAAAATGGTTCTTCACAGCTTTTTGTCTTGTTACTCTGAACAATACTTGCTCCTTTATAAACACTCTTTGTCTTCCTCTATCCATTTGCTCAGACTGGTCGAGTTGATTACTTGCTGCTTTCTTCTGCTTCTATTGCTTTCTACATGCATTGTGAGTGTTAAATTCTCCAAGCTTTCTTTTTACATTGAGTCCAGAAAAATAAAACCAATCTTTATTTTGGTTGTTTTCCCCAAGGCAAAAAGACATAAATTTGAGTCTTGCCAAGAGCTTATTCTTTATTTCTAAACTACACTGCAAGCTGACAAGTTACAACAAAAAACAAATTAAGATGAAAATAATAGACAAAAATTGATAATGCTAATGTTTAGAAAAGTAATAAAAAAATAAATGCTAAAAAAAATGAATAAAATAAACATTGCTAATTGATCATCTTCCTAGCAACCAGAAATAAACAAAAGTATCACTGGGAAGAATGAAATATATATATATATTTATTGTATTAAAATAAATTTCTGTAAGGTGAGTTCTTTCTATTCTTTATTTTTTTGCTTTTGAATGAAAATAAATTTAATTCTAAATATAGACATTATAAAGTTCCCCCACTCCAGTTACTGATGGTCTATAAGAATGCTCACTTTTGCCTTAAAGAAATTTTGTAAAATGCACAAGGCCATAACAAACCATATTATACCCATGAAAAGGTTAATGGAACTTGTTTATTGATATTATTTAGTTTGTATTATCTGCTGAGATTCTTTTCTTACTGCCTTTACATTTTGCCTGATGGCTTCCAATATAAAATTGCTAAAACTAATCATAAAGCCTACAGTCACTTTTATTATTAAGTTTACTTTTCTCTTCTTTTCAGCTAAAAATCAAAATGAAGCTGCTTTATTTCCTCATGTTTTGACATCAATGGAAATATTTTCTTAAGTAATCTTTTTTGTGTAAAGGTTAATGACAAAAATTGAAGAGACACATTTAAATTCAGGATATGAAGTAATGTAAGCTTCCATTTACTTCTTGCAATGTCCTTAGGATGCACTTCTCTATCACATGCACACAACAAACCTGATAATTTTTAAATGTTTTTTAATGCACAAAACCTACTGTTGTTAAGTCTTCAAGTGATAAAATCAAGATTAAAAATCCAATGAATATTAATATATTGTATTTTTAAAAATCACTGCTTTCTAATATAAAAAAGCATAGAATTGTTTAAATCAATAATCAAGTATTGTTATGTTAATGTTTATATAACCCATTATATCACAAATAGATTTTTTTAATCATTTCACCCCAAGCAAGGCAATAAAATCACTATGATGTAAGGGGTTAATGAGTGCAAGAGAATATGAGAAAAAATACTGTTAAGGAGAGAGAACAATAAATGAACAAGAACTAAGAAGAAGACAAGAAAATAAAAATTAACATTGTATTTAAATTTTTAAAGATCAAACTTGACTGGCAAGCAAGAAGCCAGAAGAGAGTTTCACACATGAGAAGTGTGATAGAAGAAAATGTTAGCACAGAACTTACAGTTCCATCTAACCATTTCAACTGTAAAATAATGGGAACTTGCTGCCAATCTAGCACTGCACTTAAATTCATAAAGTCTAGGTATCATAGAGGAAACATTAGAACAATTATCATGAAAGTAATTATAGAAAAAGCAGGGAAGCTACATTATGGTGGTGGGAAGTAACTGAAACCAAGATGCCAAATCAGGATCAATAACATTGCAGATTCTTTGGATTTTATCAAGAATCTCTAAATATATAACAGGAGCACCAGACCAGATGTGGCAGCAATATTCAAAGCAAGGACAAATGGTAGAATTATAAATATGTAAGATAGATTCTGGAGAGAAAAATTGTCTAGCACAACATAGTAAATCAATTTTCCTAGCAGCAAACCTAGCAAGTGATTCAGTATAATCTTTCCACTTCATGTCAGTAGAAAATGTTTTGAGAAGGTGCAACAAGTTACTCGCCTGGAGAAACACATCAAAATTTTTATTCATTCTAATGATTACATATATTACAGCAAATTTTGGAAAGTGGTGGTGTGGGAGGAGAAAAAAATGAAACAATTAAAGTAGTACTTTAGTGCTAACTGAATTTGAACCTAGTTTAAAAATACCTCCAACATTTTAAAACTGTCACCTGTGTGGTGCTAGTGAACAGGCAAGTGGTAATGTTGTCTTAATCTAACTAATGTCTTACCATTTCTTTTGCAGATACCATCAGTTACCATCATGTCTTGGAGTGGTGCACACTGCACATTTGCTGTTTAAATGTTTTTTTAAGACTGATGAATCTGTAATTGCAACACAGAAAGTCTTTTGTGCTCATTCCCGTTAAGTTGGAACGATGCTGTTGCAGATAGAAAATCGATACTGTTATGGGTTTAAAACTTTAGGGTCACAGGTTCAGCCTTTAAGAGAAAGTCACCTGGAAAACTTTAAATGCTCAAACTTCTGGTTGATGGAAAATTTTAGAAATCATCTACAGCAGTGTATGGTGAATAGAGGCCACCATTTGGAGGATCTCATTTTTAAAACTAAATAAATAAAAACTGTATCCCTTTGTTTAAATAACAGTGAAATCATTTTTAACAGTTGCCTTGGCCTTTTTGTCAACGTTTAAAATTTGAGAGATATTTCTTCTGCACCCTATATAAGCCACATGGTACAGATAGGAGAACAATTATTAGGAAGGTAAGTAGAATCTGTAAACCATGTTTAAATTTCAGCTTAGTGAATTGCATTAACTAGAAAACTACTCCACTATCTTTCAAAAGATAGTGACAATTCAGGGATATGACAAAAAAAAAAAAGAGGGCAATGAAGATCCATGATTATTTTTCATTCTAAAGGGACATAGCATTTAAAAAGATACAGATATAATTAATGTTTCAGCTTTTCTTATCACAGTCCACTGATTTTACTGATATTTCACCACTCCTGTTTCATACTAAATATTTTTGACAGCAGTGATCAAATGATGAAACACTAAATACTGAAAAATTTATTTCACCACTCAATCTCAATGAACACTGAAAAACAAAAAAAGGGATTGTCAGTGGTCAGAAATTTATGTATGTCATATAGAGTAAAATACAGAAATCCATTGAAAAATTAGAAAGGAATTGTCAGGAATTAAGGCAAGCATTACTGACAAAATAGGATGACAATATAAATATAAATGCATTGGTAATCATTTTACTAAAGAAAAACATTGATAAATATACTAATGTGTGTGCCATTCACACTAAACATGTGACCATTATGCCAATTGGCCTGCCAAATCTATGGCAAGAGAGCTTAAATCCATTCACTGGGACACACCAAAAACTGTCCATTTAAGGGCAACTAAAGCATTCACTCAATCTTCTTTTTTTTTTTTCTAAGGAAATGTATTGTCCATGGTCAGGAATTAAGACAAGCTTGACACATAAATAGGTCTAGGAAGTTTACATGGTAAAATCCAGTTTTTATTGTATAATGACAATATTACTTCTGTACAAAATTGTTAAAAGTAAAAAATATCACAGTAAAATATAAAAAGATGCTAGAAAGCATTATAGGTTACTATTCGAAGTAACAAAAGATCAAATATCGTCAATAATCATAGGTTACTATAAATATATTTTTATATTTGAGAAAAGCAAAATAATAATTATAATAATACATCAACAAATATTTTCCAGAAATATTTTTTCTAAGTTCTTTTAATTCAAACTATTGAAATAAAGAGAATCAGAGGTTTTCATTGTGTTTATTAAATTATATCATTCACATGATATAAAAACCTATTTATTCATTTTCAATGACAATGCAGGCACAAAAGCGTACATCTTTTTGCTGTCTTTTAGCCTTTGATAATATTTGCATAGAAAAAACACTATTATACAATGACTGCATGAATTTATAAATACATAGACATAATTTCACAATACATCAATATATGAGTCATGCAAGGGAATTTTATTTTGAACTGATAAGTACAAACAAATGTATGAAAAAAAAAAAGTTTTTATTAGGTAATTTTATATTTCATTCACACTCATTGAGTTTACATCAGTTGTATATG